GGTTCCATTTTGATCACAGAAGTCCTTTATGACTTGGTTGACAAATTCAGTTCCTCTGTCAGACCTGATTGTCTTAACCTTGAAGTTCTTCTCAGTCTGAAGTTGCTTTAACAGAGATGGCAACTTCTGAAGAGTTTCATTTTTCTTTGACAGAAAGATAGTCCATGTATATCTGGAATAGTCATCAACCATGACTAGAGTGTATTTCTTGCCACCAACGCTTGGAGTTTCAACAGGTCCAAATAAATCCATGTGGATCAGATTTAAAGGACTTGTAGAAAGATCTCCAACAATGGGTTTGAAAGAGTTCTTCTGTTGCTTTCCCTTCTGGCATGCACTGCAGAGGGTCTCTTTCTTGTAGACTATGTCTGGCAGTCCATCAACAATGTGTTCTCTTGCCAGTTTGTTGATTGTTTTGAAGTTCAAATGGCTAAGCTTCTTGTGCCAGTCCAAGCTTAGTTTTGAATCTCCCTTGGCTATCAGGCAAACTCCATCCTTTGCCGTGTTCCAATCAACCACATAGATGTTCTTCTTCCTTGATGCTGTAAGAACCACTTCTTTTGTTGTCTCATGCTTCACATAGCAGAAGTCCTTTGTGAATTCAACAGTGTAGCCTTTGTCACAGAATTGGCTAGCACTCAGCAAGTTGAACTTCAGTCCTTTAACATATGAGACATCATCAATGACTATCTGGTTCTTGATCAGCTTTCCTCTTCCTTTTGTTTGACCTTCTTTGTCATTACCTCCAAAGGTAACTTTAGGTCCTTTGCATTTCTGGAACTCAGTTAGACAACTTCTGTCACCTGTCATGTGCCTGGAGCATCCACTATCAATAAACCATTCTTGCTCTGAGATAGCTCCAGCACACAGTTCCTGCAAGATCAAAAGAAAGATTTAGGTACCCAAGCAATGCTGGGTCCTGGGGGTCATGGAGTCTGGGTAATTGGTACCATTTTGGTCTCATCAGGTGAAACCTTGGTGGGTGGTACCCATTGTCCACCTGGTAGTTATAGTAAACTAAAGTGTGATTCACTTTGGGCAGATGCTTGTGAGGGTCATGCTTCCTGTTTACAAACTTTTGCATAGCTTTCTTTGTTGGAAAGAAGTCCCATATACTATCAAGAGCAGAGGGACGGTTAGCTTTGGGCTTCTGAAGTTGACCAGCCAACCTCTTCTGCCTAAAGTTAACTCTCTCTTGATATTTGCCTTTCTGGTGGTCATTTCTAGCACGATTGTCATGAGGTTGTCTGTCAATGAATGATCTCTTATTTTTGTTATCTTGAAAACCTTTTCTGTTGTTAGGTTTTCTGCCAGGTTCATTATTTTTCAAAAAAGGTTTCTGTTGAACCTTTATCTTTCCCTTTTCTGGTCTAACTTCCTCATGAACAGCCTTGGTGCTAGATACACCAGCTTGACAGATGGGGCTAGAGATTAGTGGCACTATGACCTTATCTGCCTTAGCAACACTGGTGCTAGGCATTACATAAGGCTCACCTGATTCTGTTGAGCCATAACCAAGACCAAAGCCAGTGCCAATTTGTTGATCAAGTAAAATCTTTTCCATGGAAGACTGAGCCTTCTGGTAAGCTTTGTACTTAATCTCAAGAGGCTCTATTTCTCTTATTCTCTTGAGAAGAGAAACATTTTCAGTCTCCAGCTGATCTCTTTCCTTAATTAGAAGATTGATTTTGATCTCAACCTCCCTTTTCAAGTCAACAATTTCATCTTTCAACTTACTGTTTTCTTCTGTTACAGAGGAATAAGTGGCTTGGATGGCCTTAAATTCTTTCCAAAATTCTGACATTGAATCAGAATCAAAAGCTAAGCCTACCGAAGAAAAACTAGATGCAGAAGTAGAGGTTACCTCATCATCAGAATGAGCCATGAGGCATAGGTCTTCTGTCTCAGTATCAAGGCAACAGAAGGCCTCATCAGAATCAGAGTCAGAACTGGATTCTGTCTCTGACAGAGGGTCTTTCTCGAGCTGTTCTGTCACAAGTGCTTTTCTCCTTCTGGAGTTGTCTTCATACTTCTTCTTTTCTCCATCATGCCCTTGTTTCTTGGACACTCTTGGATGTGGACATTCTGCCTTGAAATGTCCAGGTTGTCTGCAGTTGTAACAGAGAAGCTCACCACTGCTTTCTGTTGTTTTGACCTTCTGGAATGGCTTTCTGCTGAATGATGGACTTCTTCCATCTTTAGGATTCTTCATAAACTTCTTGAATCTCCTAGCAAAAGCAGCCATATATTCGTCAGATAAAAGTACTGAAGGGTCAAAATCATTTACCTTTGATGTGATGGCAGTGAGGGCTGTAGTGGTCCTCTCTTCTGGTACATCTTCCTTTTCTTCAATCATTTCAAACTCATGAGCTTTGAGATCTGAAATGAGCTTATCAGTGGGATAAGTCTTTACATCCTTGCTGGCTTGGACAGCAACCACCTTCATCTTCCATGCTGAGGGCAGTCCCCTCAACACCTTAAGGTTGATCTCCTTGGTGGTGAGTTCCTTGCCAAGCTCAGAGATCTCTCCAGTGAGAGTGAGGAGCCTGTCATACATCTTGGAGATGCTTTCACCAGGAAGAAGCTTGAAGTCATCAAACTTCTTGTTGGCTATTGTCAGCTTGTTGTCCTTCTCTTGCTCATCACCAGCTCCAATGAGCTCAAGAGTATCCCAGATTTTCTTTGCAGTCTTGCACTTCTTTATTCTGTTGAAGTACCTATCATCGATGGACTTGTAAAGAATATCCTTAGCAATGTTGTCCAGATTGTACTTCCTTCTTTCTTCTGTTGTCCACTCAGATTTGGCCTTATTGATCATCTGAGGTCTAGTGTTGTCAATAGCATGTTCAGGGTTGACCTTCTGGAAGCTTGTGAAGGGCCCAATGTCAAGTACTTCCCACATCTCATCATGCAGAGCACAGAGATGTGCCTTCATCCGGATCCTCCAGTCATCAAATTTGAGATCTGAGAACATAAGATTCTTGGACAAGGAGTGATCCATTATATCAGATAAAAATGAGGTAAAACAGAAAAACAAGTGGATCTTTGTTCAGCAAATAACTTAAGAGATTATTAGAACAAGGAGGCTCTGATACCACTTGTGGATCGTTGCGCTTACCGCTACACTAAAATCAATTGCTGATAGTGAAGCCCGCTCCTCCCCCTTTATAGCACAAGCGAAGCGCCACACGGTCCGATTGCACCGGCAGGCTGGCTGTTGCTGGCACCGCATACCCGCGGCCCAACAAAAATAGCATGTCCCCAAGCAGATGAAGGTAGATTACACTTCATTAATAATGGTCTTGCGATTAATTGTAATCGTTTAATCAAAGATTCAGCAAGACCATTTTGTGTATGGGCATGAGCAACAGGATGCTCCACATCAATCCCAATCGACATACAATAGTCGTTAAATGACTGGGATGTAAATTCTCCTGCATTGTCAAGTCAGATTCACTTTATAGAATGATCCGGAAATGAGCTCTTAATCGTATGATTTGAGCAAGGAGTTTAGCAAATGCTAGATTTCTAGTCGATAATAGAGTGACACGTGACCAACGTGTTGAAGAATCAATCAACACCATAAAATATCGAAATGGTCCACATGGTGAGGCTATCGGCCCACAAATATCTCCTTGAATCCTTTCTAAAAATGCAGGTGATTCAATTGCAATTTTGTTCATAGAAGACCTGATGATCATTTTGCCAAGAGAGCAGGCCTTACAAGGAAAATCACTTGATAATGGAACCCTGATATTCTTTAATGGGTGTCCAAGTGAAGTCTTAATGATTTTATGCATCATTACTTGGCCTGGGTGACCTAAACGGTCATGCCACAACATGAATGTTTTCTGATCATCTAACTTTGTGTTAGAAACCAAATTTATTTCGAATGTACTAATATATGTGAAATATAGTCCTCAGGAATATGCTGGCATTTTTTGACAAATATATTTAGTGCCAGTTTTAGTTGTCGTAAGACAAAGATATTCCTTTTGATTTTCATTCATGGTTTCTATGTGATAACCATTTTGACGCATATCTTTAAAGCTCAATAAATTTCTCTGCGATTTGCTGGAGTATAAAACGTCATTTGTAGTAATTTTTGTCCCGTTAGGGAGCATCACATATACTTTCCCAGAGCCTTCAATGAGCTTCGCAACACCTGATATTGTATTGACTTTAGCTTCAACTAAAGTCATTTGAGAAAAATATATTTTATTTTTCAAAATGGTGTGCGTTGTGGCGCTGTCTATCAGACATAGCTCTTTATCATTTGAGTGATCCATATCTTCGATATATATAAATAAACATAAATTTGATCACAAACTGCAGGAAGATGATCTTTTGAAGAGTTTGAGCTGATTCGTGCTGATAACGTGTTGTGAAATGAAGAAGATCAAGACTAAATTAATGAGATAGAAATAGATAAAATCACTAAATTACTTCTTCTTAATATCTGAAAATTTCTGAGTTTCTGAGTTAGTTTACAAGAGTTCATTAAGGCTCAAGCCCCTATTTATAGGGATGGAGCTTGATGATGAATCACCCCAAATAGTGGTACATAATTTTACTGACACATGTAAATAGAGCCATCTGTCTATCTATGATTAAAAGGACTAGAAGTAGATGAGTGATCTGATTATAAGGATTAGAACTAACTAGATGTCCTGATTACAAGGAATTTAGAACATGTACGAGGCCGTTTGGCAACCCTCATTTTCGGCTTATCAGGCTTATCAACCAACTTTTTTACCAAACACGTAATTTTGCTTTCGCGCGCTGAATTGTGTAATAAGCCGAAAAAGTAAGGTCGATGTTACTTTTCTGACTGTATTGGCTGAAGTTACCGTAGATGACCATTTTAGCTATTTTTACATATAATTTTTTCTTTATTTTATTAATAATATATATTTTAAATTTTTTTTTTTATTTGTATCCACGTAATCCGGTGAACTAGCAAGAACAGTCTATTTTCCTGTCGACAAAACTGCTCAATCATTTTTCTGGATTTGGCGGTTCTCAGCGTCTGAAGAACTCCTGAACGATGCAAATGCAAATTAATCCGAAGTGCACACAGTCATAAAAGCCAAAAGGAAAGAATATCAATCAAAGCTGCGAATCCCACCCAGTTCATGGGGAGGTGGAGAGCCGCCGCCGCCGCACTCAGTTTCTCACGCTTACCGTCAAAACCAAAGCTACTCGGTCATAAGTACACCGTGAACCCTCCTCGCAGAAGGTTTCCAGATTTTGCATCAGCAGTTGTAGTCCCGCTCATCTCTCGAAACCTTGACTCCAAGTCTTTCTCCGCTGCTCCATGGCCATATCCTCTCTATATCGATGATTTCGAATGCAATCCTGTAGATTTTGCTCGGATTCCAGATCCAAAAGAGGACGAGGATCCTGGAAAAATTCAAATAAAAGCTTATTTTCTTTCTACCAGGTTCGTTGTTTCATCTTTTCCAGCAATCGCTTTGACGTGTTTCTAAAACCCCCCCGCCCCCCGCCCCTCGCTTAATTTCCTTTTAGTAATGGGCCCTAATGGCAAATAAGTTCTTTTTTCTTTTTTAGTAATGGAAATCGAGAACTAGTCTAAGTTTTCATTTTTTTAAGGATTGAGCTAACCCGTTAAAGAAATGTTAGCTACAAGGTTCATTATTTGCTTCTTATCAAGAAAATTTGGCGATTTTGCCTTTAGTGGTCACTGATCACATCTTGCAAACTGTGTGAAGATTTGATGATGATATTTTGCGGTGGAGTTTTTTTCTTTGGCATTTTGAGATTCATGAAAGAACAGAAGATTTGTATTTGACTCCTGGTAAACATGGTTCCGTTTGGTAGGAGAATTATTCTGTGTATGAACAGCAGAATAAGCAGCTGTTGACACTCATTTGGCTGAAATGGATGATTAAAAGACAAAATTTTAAAAGAAAATTTCAGCCTGTTCAAGTCATTTGGACCAAATAATCCTTACCAAACAGACCCTATGTCTAAGCAAATGCTTATCAAGCTACGGACCAAATAATCCTTACCAAACAGACCCTATTTCTGCACACAGAAATGAAGACTTTGTGAAAGTTGTGTTTTTTCCAATATTGCCCTTGTGATTAAGCTGATAGGACATGGAGATTATAGCGTTTCAATAAAAGTTACAATACATATTAGCTGCTAGCTACCATTCTTTTTGCTACAACAGAAGTCCTACAGACGGTGTTGCAAAAAAAAATTAAAATCCCCCATCTCAAATTTACCCAAGTTACAACATTGAAGTGGAATACGGAATACACCATACGTTCAATTACAGTTATTTACTACAACGTCTTAAAAAGCACACCCACACTGTACACTAAGATTAAATACAACCGCCAGGCTATGGACTAGACTAACAGTGGATGAAGTGGTTTCAATTCTAGAGCTTTTTCAACTACATGATGATGGCATGTTTGGTGACTGATTTCAACCTTGATGTAGGCGCAATAATGACATACTCTGGTGTTTCTTCTGTAAAATTGATAGAGGAAGAAGATGCTGCAGAAATAGCTGACAACGATGTTATTACAAGCTAGACACCAATGTGAAGAATAAAGTAGAACCGGAACGTCGTTAAAGAAAATACCTTGTTAGAGAATGGCAATCTTAGTATTTGGATAAGATATGACCAAATGAAATACATAGTCTCTTTTGGGTAAATAGAGCCTATTAGGAGTAACTTCGGCCTTGTTTTTGAATACATGTCCATCCTTTAATATTTGGTAAATTATGTCAGAATAAAAGTTTTGGAAATCTTATGATCTTTCCAATGAGATAAGAAAGCCTTAAAACGTAATCATGTACATCAAGATATGATCAAATGAAATACTTATCCCGTTTTGTGTAAATAGAGCCTATTAGGAGTAACTCGGGCGTTGTTTTTGAATACATGCCCATCCTTTAATATTTGGTAAATGATGTATGAATAAGAGTTTTTATAAATATTTGTGATCTTTCCAACGAGATAAGAAAGTCTTCAAATGAGACACTTGGTCTGATTTGGGTAAATAGAACCTATTAGGAGTGACTTCAGTGTTGTTTTTGAATACATGCCCATCTTTTAATATTTGGTAAATGATATCTGAATTAGAGTTCGAGAAATCATTACCATAATTCCAAAGTAAGACAAAGGGAAGGGTGCAAGGGAAACCAAATAATTTATTTAGATATGCTTCAAGTTGTGCATCTTCAATAATCAGCAGCTAGCTCACCACAACCACCTCCCTCTCCACCTCACTCACTTTCTGCTCGTTTCATTTGCCACTTCTTTCTCTTTATCATGGATGAGTGAGGATTCCATGAGCAATGAACAAAGACCTAAATAGGCGAGCTTGTGAGTAAAAGTATTTTAGTGATTCTTGACTCTTTTGTACGGATTAATTCCATTTTTGATTCCACGTGCATTATGTCTATTCTACATTTGATACATGTCTCTAACTTTGCTCACTTTTGATACATGACTGTTGTTTCTTCTCACAAATGGTCCTTCCGTCGATATTTCTGGAGCTTTAAAACACCCGAGGTATGTTGGAAATTTGGATTTCTGGACCATAGATGGGAAAAACAACATTCATCTACCAAAAATGGTTAAACTGAAAGTCGTAGACCAAATGTATGATAAACATAATACTCGCAGGATCAAAAGTGGAACTAGTTCTATGTTTCACTCTCCAAAATAAGACTGTTTGCAGTTACTTTGAAACTATCAGGAAACGGAAGTGTTGCAACTATTAAAGAACTGAGAATAGTACTCCTTCAGTCCCGTATCAAAGTTTCCATAGCAAAAGGGTATGTCTTTTAGGAAAATAATTAAATAAAGCATTTTGAACATGAAAACGAAAGATTGAAAAGGTAAATTATTAAATTAAGTACTTCAATGGATGAGATTTTAATTAGGTTGAGTAACTGATGAATAATTGTGTTACTATGAGCTTGTTTATTTTTAAAAGTAATGCTACATTATCATTTAAAAATTAAAACATTAATTTTTTCCTAAAAGGAAAGAAAACCTTGATATGTGACATCCAAAAAATGCAAGTGAAAACAATAAACTGGGATGGATGGAGTAGTTGATTTGACAGGTCTAAATTTATCACCTCAATTCGTTTGTGATCCTGAATGCTTTTCATGGGATTCACTCTATTACTCATGATATATATAGTTTCTCTTTTTTATTTTCTTCTATATTTGTTGCTTTCTCAGATTCATAATTTTGACACAGTATTGATCTGAAGAGCTTGCAAGCAGAGCATTCGGCCAATGTCATGCCCCCATTGTCCCGGTCATCAAACTATGTAGTACTCAGATTTCACAACCATCCTCTGTCCAGTGTAAGCACTGCTTGTAATTTCATTTGGATTGTTTTTTAGGTGAATGACTAAATTCCCGTTTTTATTTAAGAGTGAAAATTCATTTATCATGTGTTATGAAATTGATCTTGACTAGAAGATCAGGAACCTGGAAAATTTCACAATCAAAGGCTCAAAGCTTATTATCCTTCTATAGTGTTCATTATTCCATCTTTTCAGTCGCACACATTGATGTATGTCTGTTTTTCTTCAATTTCTTGTATTTAGTCATGGAAAATAAGTTTTTTTCTTCAGTACACCCTAGTATTGGCATAAGTTTTCAGTTACTTTGTTTGCAGTTGGTTTGTTTTCAATACTATTTGTATGTTCGTCACTCTACTAGCTTTTGTATATTTATTTGTGTCCAAGAAAATGCCTCACTTTCAGGTCGGATTGTTTTTTTCATTTTGATCTTTATAGTTTCATTTACTGGAGATATTTGTGTTTCCTTCCAAATCACTAAAACTATAAAAAGTACTCCCCCCATCCCTGTATAATTGTCCCATTTTTCCATTTTTGGATGTCCCCCTATTATTGTCCCATACCATATTTGGTAACATTTGTGTGGCTCTAATTCATTCTTACTTTATTCCCACTTTATTGACTCATTATCAACCACATAATTCTACTTTTCTTAAAAACCACACCACTCCCCTCCGTCCCAATATTAGGGGGACGGAGGGAGTACATCATTTGTCCCACTATGTTTGTCTCATTTTTATCTGTCCCAAAATGTGTGTTCCATATCATATTTCTCAGCATGTATGTGGTAAAAAAATCATCTATAACTATACAAATTCAATAGCAACTACACAATTCCCCCTTCCCAAATTTGCATGCCATTTTCCCTTCTCCCAAACTTAGGAAGACATGTGAATATATTTCTTTTTCTTTTCCACCCTTATTATTTTCCCTTAGTAAATCTACTTTATTTTCGTATTTTCTTTCTCCTAGAAAGGAAAGTTCCCAAACTAAGGGTTAGCGCTGTTACAAATTTACAATAGTATGATCTAGAGTCTATACCTTTTTGGGGACAGACCATTGGAGTTGGAGAAAACGCAAACTGCTTCCACTACATGGTTGTCTTCCAGTATGGTTCTGCTGTCTTATTCAATGTGGATGAAGAAGAAGCTGAATGCTACTTGCAAAGAGTGAGAAAATATGCAAGTGGATTGCTTCTTGAGATGAAAAAAGACGGTTAGATCCTTCTATTATACCTGTATACCGTTTAATTGATGCCAGGTCATGCATTGTCCCACCTTTACCAAGATATCTAACAATCAATGTTATAATTTAACTTGTATGCATAGTTAAATAGAACGGTTTTGCTTCAAATTTTCATATTGGGGAAACATGCGAGCTGATCAATTTGACTAAATGTGTGATTATGGGGAAGTGATAACGACTTCTATGAGGAACCATTAGGTTAACGATAACGGTATAAAACATAAAAATTCTGCTGCTAAAACTGCTCCTGCATCAAAGCACCTATAAAACTGAGAATTTTTTTCAGCTTTATCTTTTTAGAATATTATTATGAGTGGGAATTTTAGTAGGTTTTGTTGCAAGCATTACATTTTTACCTTTATTATATACTCCCTCCGTCCTGTTGGAAGGTTCCCATAGCAAAACGACACGGCTATTTAGGCAATAATTAATAAAGTACTTCGAGTATATTTTGAGAAATAATTTTAATAGGTATATATTATAATGTAGTTAGTATTGATAACTGTGATGTTATAAATGTATTATTTTTAATATTTAATGATTAATTTGTCACTTAAGATTGTTAATTGTTTCCTAAAATGGAAATGAGAACCTTCTAACGGGACGTCCCAAAAAGGAAAGTGGGAACCTTCTAATGGGACAGAGGGAGTAATAATTATGAGACTCCCATGACTATGTTAGTGTATATAGATTTGCATTAGAATTAAGTATTCTTTTTTTCTAGTGAATGCCAGTTTGCGTGAAAGCAACGTGCCTGGTCGCTTTTGTGCACTTTTTGCTTTAAAGAATTTTAGTCTTAAGAATACACAGAAGCTGATGCCTGTATGGCAGCCTTCCCCCCTTTTACTATATAAATGAGTTCTGACTAACTTAACCATTCACCCTAAATTTCTTTTTCTTTCTAATGAAGTTGGATTTCTGAGCGTATTATACTCAATGAAGAGCGTTTTTTTCTTTTCTTAAAATGACATTCTGTTGTTTCTACTTTTTATAATATAGATAAATAGCTGCACGTGTTAGTGGTGTTACTACATTTTTACCACACATTTTTTTGGATTTATTACTTGATAATGTATATACATATTTTGCAAATTGAAGTTTATTAATATATCACTTTTCATTTGGTCACTGTCAGATTATGCAGTAAAAGAGAAGCCATCATTGGTTGAGGATATGGAGGGACGTCCGGACTACATTGTGCTGAAAAATGTGGACACAGATAGTATCCGTGTAATTAGCAGTGTGCTTGGGCAAAGTATTGCACTTGATTACTTTGTCTCACAGGTAACTGATGAAAACAGAAAAATAGAAATCAACGGAATAATCCATTGCCCGGATAATCAACAATAGAAATCGTTGCCTAGAGCCAAAAGGCTAAACTCCAATTTTATTCATAGATAAGCAAGGCTGAACCCTGGCAAGGGGTATAAATAGCCTTCTAGTAAGAGACTCAACAGAAACCCTAATCGAGCCCAAATTAATTGAACCCCAATTAGCCCCACATTAACTCTACTAACTACTCTACTAATAATAGGCCCAAACTAGAAAACATAACGTAAACTTTATAATAATAAATAAAACTATAATCCTAGTCCACAACCAGCCCATGGAGGTGGGCCCAAGCCCGTTCCCGCCCCTTGATCTCCCTGCTCTCTATCAGTAACATACTCTGTGTTATCACATGCTTGTTTGATAAGGAAATTTTTGTCACTCAAGTATACATTATTGGACTCAATTTGGTCATAGACTGAAATTGTTCTGAGTTGTGTACTTGTGTCTCCATCCATATTTTGCTCTAAATAGAAATGTATTTTTGTCTGTTTACTAATGTTAGACCCAACTTCAAACTCAATGTGACTCTAAACTGTGTAAATTTCACTAATGTGTTACGGATGCATTTTTAGGGTTTTAGTTAATTAGAAGAGGAGTCCAGTTTGGTGTTATCTTTATATTTAATTTAGGGTTTTAGTTAATTAGAAGAGGAGTCCAGTTTGATGTTATCCTTATATTTAATTTAGAGTTTTAGTTGGAATATGACTTAATCATGTAAAGGCAGAATGCATATTTATAATTCTTTTGAGGAATATTAATCATCGATCATAATAACTTATTCCCAGAGAGAAGTCACAGACTCCCCCCTCCCCTACGCTCTTCCTGCCATGGGCAAGAAGAGAGGTAGCCCTTGCAGGCCGGTTACGACCTCAACCGGGTACCCTGCTACCCCAAGTCGTCCCTGGACCCATTCTCAATCCCAAAACTCAACAATTTGGTATCAGAGCCGTCACGACCCATGGCGCCACAGAATGAGGATTTAACCACCATGATGAAGGAGTTTATGGAGGCTATGACTGCTAGGGTAACCGCCATAGAAGGGCAGATTGCCGCTCTCTCTGGCAGTCCACAAACGGGATTCCAAATCAACAGAAAAACATGAAGAGCCAGCCAATAACAGCCCGATATCACACATCACCTTTAACCCCTGGAAACCACAATATGCGAAGATGGAATTTCCTGTGTTTGATGGCACCTACGACCCAACTGGTTGGTTGAAAAGGTGCGAAAAAATTTCTTGAACCAAGAAACTCCTAGTGTTGTAAAGATGAATATGGTCTCATTCCACTTGATAGACGATGCACAATTGTGGTTCGATCAGATGATATAGGAAGAAGGAGAAGTCAATTGGGAGAGGTTTAAAGAACTCTACCTGGAGCGCTTTGGCCCCCCTTTGAGTTCTAACCCGATTGGAGATCCAAAACTTTTGATACAGATTGGATCCGTTGATGAGTATTGTGCCCAATTTCAGAAAGCCTTAGAAAGAACATAAAAAATACAGTCCACCCATCAGATTGCTTTGTTTGTCGCCTGTCTCCATCCACACTTACAGGCTGATGTGGAGATAGCAAAACCAGGCAACCTGGGTTATGCAATGAACCTTGCAAGGACATTGGAAGCAAGGCAAGCACTGACGCTTGCACCTGTCGAAGTCTGTCTCAGGTACTGCAACACATATGAAACAATGTAGTCCACCACGGCTTAGACAAGCACTCGTGACAACAAGGGCAGGAAATCCAATTGTTAAGCGACTCACGAAGGATGAAATGGTTAGAAAGATGAGCAAAAGGGCTATGTTATAATTGTGATGAACGGTGGACGATGAATCACCAATGCAAAAAGCTTTTCTTGATCGAGATAGAAGATGAGGAGGATGAAGATGGCTTCCCAGACTTGGAGTTGTCTGCCAACGCTATAAGTGGAACTATTAGTTCAATTGCCCCACACCAGATAAGGCCACTTGGGATCCGTTAAGACCTTTGTCGCTGCTTATCCAGTATATGAGCTTGGGGACAAGCTCAGTGTCGAGGGAGGGAGTGATGTTACGGATGCATTTTTAGGGTTTTAGTTAATTAGAAGAGGAGTCCAGTTTGGTGTTATCTTTATATTTAATTTAGGGTTTTAGTTAATTAGAAGAGGAGTTTAGTTTGATGTTATCTTTATATTTATTTTAGAGTTTTAGTTTGAAAAGGACTTAAACCATGTAAAGCAGAATGCCTATTTGTAATTCTTTTGAGGAATATTAATCATCGATCATAAAAACTTAATCCCAGAGAGAAGTCATGAACTTCCCCCCTCCCCTGCACTCTTCCAGCCATGGGCAAGAAGAGAGGTAACCTGGACCCGTTCTTAATCCCAGAACCTTAACTTAATGTTAGTCCCGGTGTATGAAAATGCCGTTGTTAATTAGAGTGGAATATGCTCGTGAACGAAATCGAGTCTAAACTGAATAGTCAAGGACCAGAGTGAGTTCAAAAAAAGTAGAGAACTGAATTGAGTAATAGTGTATAGTCGAGGAGCCAAATTGAGTGTGAACTTGTTTATTTATTACTGCCTTCGTCTTACAGTAAACCTCTCTCTTTTCATTTTTATGTCTTGAAATAAACTTCATCTTTCTTTATTTGGTTGACTTTTTATTGTAAAATGACTATTTTCCTTGTGTCTCTAAACGACGTGTCCATGACTATTTTTTAGCACAAAAGGGAACGCGATGCAAAAAAGTACACTCCTAATCAGCGTGTATAACATAAGTGCGAATTTCAAGCCAATTGGACGAAGAGAGTAGTAAATTTCTAACTAATGGTTTGTATATCTGTTTGTAGATTGATGGAATGGTCGAGGAGTTTGCTTATATAAATCGTGAAATGGAAAGGACAGGAAATTTCACAATGGACAGGAAAAAGCTATTTCAGCTCGTTGGCAAGGCTAATTCAAACTTAGCTGATGTTATTTTGAAAGTTGGTCTTTTTGAGAGGTTAGGCAAATATGAAAATGGGTATATGATGGAATAAAGCAAAATGATTCACTAAACTCTTTGTGCTTCCTGCGTACATCCGACCCCCCCTTACCCCACTGTTGGTGGAGCCTTTGTGGCACCGGGGTAATGTTGTTGTTGCAAGCTAATATGAAAATGGCCAAGTACCAAAAAGGGCAGCCTGGTGCACATTGTTGTTCCCGCAAGGCGTGGGTCCAGGGAAGGATCCCACCACAAGGGGTGTATAGGGGGCAAGCCTTCCCTATATAGGCGAGACCACTCCCAAGGCTCCCCTTCGGCTAATTACTACTGTGTAAAAATTATTACTATGGACGGGTACTAATTAATAAATACTTATCTATAGAAAAACTGTCCCACTTTTGATCACACGACTCTTAGGTCATTCATTCTCTCCTTTGGTCGACTGGTCCCCAACTTTTATATTTTTTCGCTTTTAGTGCATGAGTATGGCTTCGTTTACAATTTTGATCCTTCCAATCATTTATCTCGCCAATGTTGGTTGAGTAGGTTAGTGGAGAGGACTTAGAGTGTCCGGGGACTGTCGAAGAATTGTCCATTATTAACTCATACATAATATAATCAAATGAACCCTTATTGCGTAGTTTCTTCAGTTACCAGAGCATTTGATTATTTTTATTGACTGATAAAGCTCTCATCTATCAGATCTGAAATTGCATGGAGAGATGCAAAATATGCCCTGATACTGGAGTACCTGTCCGAGGAATACGAGGTTACCCAACGTTTTTGCAACCTTAACATCAAACTAAAGTTTGTTGAGGTAATCATTTGTAAACTATTCTCTGATGTGGTAACATCAAACATATTCATATGTTTTTGGTTATGAATCAAGAATATGCATATTTGGATGTGGTAAAACACTGTTTGTGCGAAAAACTGTAATTCAATTGTGCAAATAACGTTGTGTTTACCATTTAAATATCATTGTATTACTATTTCAACATTTTGTATTGTTCCTTGACCATATGCTGGTATAAGGTTTTCCTTTATGAGTAATCTTTTTGACAGAAATGTTTTTTGTGTGTGGGTGCAGCATAACATACATTTTCTTCAGGAAGTGCTACAAAACAGAAAGTCAGATCTCCTAGAGTGGTGCATCATAGTTTTACTGACTTTAGAGAACATTGTTTCTGCGTATGAGATTCTTCACCAGTCAACTGTTGTTCCTTTGTAAACATGTATGTACATATATGCACATAACTTATTCTTTTTAGCATCTCTCTATATACAAAGCACCGTGAATGCCAGGCAAGATTCCCGCCCATTTTACTGGGTCACTATTCGGGTCGAGCAGCTGTGTGGGTTAGGAGAAAGAGCTGCTGCAGCTGCACATTTAAGGTTGAGTTGATTTATTGGGTTTGGAAAAGAGCACCCAATTGTCACTTCATAACTTTTTAGCATTGTTCGAATGGCACATGAGCACCTTAAGGATTCAAATACGGGTCTCAGGAGATTCCACCTTTTTGACCAAGATTCAAATACTAGTAATTAAAAAAAGTACAAACAATAAATGTTCACAGCCATTGTGTCAAACAATCACTTCAAACTTGAAATAATAGTCATTTCAAAACTTTTCATAACAGTCATTTAATGAGGTTTGGTTGCTTTTCATTTTCTAATTTTGTAATTCGAGTAGTAGTCATGGACTCAGGCCGGGTCGGGCCCGGGCCGGGCCTAGGCCTGGTCGGGCCGTCGGTTCGTATCATATGGACCCGGGACTAGCCCGAGGGTTGGACGGGTCCGGTTTGGGCCGGGCCACCCGCCCGGGTCACGGGTCGGGCCATCCGCCGGGTCGGGTCGGTTAAAGATTTTTTTTTGTTTTTATAATTTATATTTTATACTTTATAGTTTTATACAATTATTAAAAATAAATTTCAAGTGCATTTATTTGAAATGAAATAGGAACTACATTTGAAAATTAAATAGGAACTACAATTGAGAATTGAAGGTAAAATTAAAACGTGAAATACTAATTGAGAAATTCAATCGGAATCTCCGGCATAGGTAGAGCCATCCTCGGTTGTAGATTCATCCATAAAGTGTTGGGATGGGGTGATGTCAATTTCTTGAGCTCTACGGGCTGCTTTCAACCAATCGTGGTAGCATATAAGCATCTCAAGAGATTCTGCGCTCAACCTCGTTCTGGTTTGCGTTAGGACATTGCCGGTCGAACTAAATTCTTGTTTCACGTAGGGTTGGATTCGGGCCGGGTCGGGCCGGGCCTAGGCCCGGTCGGGCCGCCGGTTCAAGAAAAGTGGGCCCGGGACCGGCCCGAGGGTTGGACGGGTCCGGTTTGGGCCGGGCCACCTGCCCGGGTCACGGGTTGGGTCCGGTTCGGGCCGGGTCGGTTAATTTTTTTTTTATAATTTATATTTTATAGTTTATAGTTTTATACGAGTATTAAAAACAAACTTCAATTGCATTTATTTGAAATGAAATAGGAACTACATTTGAAAATTAAAACAAACTTTAAGAGATAAACATTTTGAAAATTGTAATCAATCGGAACTTCCCGCACCTCCCGATCCTTTGGCTTTGTCACATGACTTCATATGCTTGATTGCCATCCCGAATCCGCCTGAAGCCCCCATGATACATTTTTTTTCGCACCATTTGCAAATTGCGTACCACATCCCGGTCTTCGGGTCCTTCTGCTTATCAAAATTATACCGTATAATGGCATCTTGATTTTCCATCTTAACTTCTTGGAGAAGAGAATTAGAGAGTAGATATATAATATATTGGAGAATAAGAGAATTAGAGAGTAGAGAGTTAAGAATGAATTTAGGAAGAATTGGAGAAGAGATATGAAAAAATGTTTAAGAGTAGGAGTATTTATAGGTTTTTTTACCCCCCACCCCCCACCCCCCACCCCCCGGACCCCCCCTTTACCCCACCCAACGGCTATATAGCCGTTTGGGTTGTCCCCAGCCCCACCCCCAAGGCCTCAACGGCTAGTAGCCAAAAAACAAAAAAAAAGTTTTTTTTTAAAAAATAGACCCGGACTCGGGCCCGACCCGGCCGGGCCGGGTCACAAAACTGCTGAACCGAGCCCGCCCCGCCCCTTCCCCCCGGTTCGGGCCCATACCCGGTCCCGGACCGCCCGACCGGGCCGGTCCTGGGCCCGCACAGTACCGGGCCGGGCCGGGTCACGGGCCGGGTGGCCCGAACCGAATCCAACCCTAGTTTAACGGCAATCGTTGAAACCGGCGTTGATAGCACTTGCTTAGCCATCTTTGCTAAAACCAGGAACATTCTTTCTTTTCTCTTCCACCAGTTTAGTACGTCAAAATCATCTTCTTCAAAATCAACATCATATGTTAAATACAAAGAATGACACTTCATAACTTTTTAGCATTGTTCGAATGGCACATGAGCACCATAAGGATTCAAATATGAGTCTCAGGAGATTCCACCTTTTTGACCAAGATACAAATACTAGTAATTAAAAAAAGTACAAACAATAAATGTTCACAGCCATCGTGTCAAACAATAACTTCAAACTTGAAATAATAGTCATTTCAAAACTTTTCATAACAGTCATTTAATGAGGTTTGGTTGCTTTTCATTTTCTAATTTTGTAATTCGAGTAGTACAATAGGAATTCAAAATTGAAAGATCGGTTGGAAAATACTCCGTATAATTTTATCTTTTGGACATAAGTCCAATTCATCCTATGACAGTATGACTCATCCAATACACAGAACTAAGTCAATACATTATAAATAGGCCCTCCTACTTGACTTTCCAACGCATTCTACATCCCCAAACAGTCAAACACAAAACAATGGCATCAAACATAACTAGGCATGGACTGGGCTGGACTTTGGGCCGGTTCAAGTCGGGCTTTTTTTCCAGGATGTTGGGCCCGGAACCGGTCCGGGTTGATACCGGGTCCGGGCCAAAACCGGGCCGGTCCGAGCCGGGTTCAATGTAATTTTTTTTTGCTGTGTAATTAACCCCCGACCCCCTCCCTCACCCCGACCCCCAAACCCCCACAAAACACCCAACCCTACCCAAGGAAAAGAAAAAAAAATTGAAAAAACAAAAAATAAAATAAAATTGAATCGGGCCCGGCCTGGACCGCCCGAGCCGGTTCATGAAAAATAGGGCCCGAGCCCGGCCCGCCCAAACTGTCCAAACCAGGCTAAATCCCGGAACCGCCCATCCCCAACCGGTCTGGTCCGGGCCCGCACAGAAGCGGGCCGGGCCGGTTCCCGGGCCAGTTCAGCCCGGTTGGGTCCATTCCTAAACATAACTTGAAGGTGGTCCATGATGAAGAGTACGCATCCAACATATCAGAGTAGAGCAAATCCAGCAGGGTAAAAGGTTATATTGTGCTCTTTATAGTTGATCAAGGTATCTGACCACTGTATTTTCAGGGAAGACGAAATTGTATGTGTATTACACACATAATTTCAATAACATAAAAAAATGGTAGAGTAAGGTATAAATTATAATGTTGAAAAACTGTATATTAAATTATAGGGAAAACTGTCAAATAGATCCTTGTACATTCGCGAAAAAGTCAACTGAGTCCTTCTACTATTTTTCGAGTCAATTAAGTCCATCAAGTTGGAAAAAATAACCAATTTCGTCATTTGAGCGGTAAGCAGCCAATAACTCCCAGTAGCTTCTGATGTGGAGGCCCACGTGGCAATATTTTTAGTTTTTTCATTTCTTTTCTTTTTGCTTTCCTCTTTCTTCTCTCACAGACCACCTCTTCTTCTTCCCTAATCTCCCCTACGTTTTTTCTTTCATTCTTTTTTATTTCTTTCTTACTTATTTTCTTTGTTCTATTTCTTTCCACCATAAACTGCTGGCAACCAACTCTTCTCATTCGCCGCCATTGTTTCACTGTCACCCAGAACCTTTCAGCCGCCGCGCGGCATCGGTCTCTCAAAACTTTCCCAACCACCATTGGTGGACTGCTCGTCTGCCATACTTCTCCAATATGGCATCGATCTTCCACAACCAAAGTTTGACCAGCCGCCGCCAAGTGCCGTCCTTCCCAACGGATGCCACAGCTTCTCAACCGCCGACAGCCATCCAAGAGAGAATCGGGAAGAATGGAAGATAAGAAAGAAAAAGAAATTGGAAAATAAAGAAATTGGGATAAGGGAGAAAATCAGGAGGAGAAGGATAGTGAACCGGAAGGAAAGAAAAAAGAAAAAGAGGAGGGAAGAAATGTAATGGTATGAAGCAAACTCGGAAGAAGAGGTCTGCAAGAAAGAAGATGGTTCACCTGTTCAGCAGAGAAAGAAGCAAAGAAAAAGAAAAGAAAAGAGGGGAAAAAGGGGGAAAGAAGGAAAAATTAAAAGTTTTGCCACGTGGGCTTCCACATTAGCAGGTATATGGGTTACCGGCTGCTTACCGGTTAAACAACAGATTTGGTTAATTTTTTGAACTTGGTGGACTTGATTGACTCAAAAAATAGTAAAAGGACTCAATTGACTTTTTTGCGAAAGTACGAGAACCTATTTGACAGTTTTCCCTAAATTATAAATAATATATACGGAGTATGTAATACTCTCTCCGTCCCGAAAAGATTCGCCAACTTTGACTTTCACTTGGATTAATAAAGTAAAAACTATGTGGTTAAAATTTGTGCAGTGGAGAGAGAATTAACTTTAGCCACATATTTCTTACTTTAAATGGAAATGACAAATCTTTTTGGAACATCCAAAAAAAGAAATTTGACAATCCTTTTCAGGACAGAGGGAGTATATAGTATAAATTGTAATATAGAGTATATAAGTATGGACACTTATTATATTACTTACCACTTTATTCTAAATTTAATTATTTATGCGTTTTATAATCTAGTATGTGAAAACACAATCACTTATTTGGTAAGCATAAAAAGGGGATGAGTATAAAATGGAAAGGGTCCACCACTTTTTGGTTCCTACTCACGTGAGAAGAACCCAAAGACAAAACTCAATTTTGTTTACATATTTGCCCCCATTTGCTCTTTCCTTTATATTTATATTCTCCTTAATGGGGATACTTTTGCAGTTTTGCGCTATTAAAACTATCTTTGTTTTATTTATTCAAATATCACTTCTTTCTCTGAATAAATGTGTTTTTTTTATTCAAATATATCTTCTTTCTCTGAAATTCATTGCCTTTCTCATGTATAAAACAACTCTAACATTCTTTCCTCTTCCCATCATCTTATTTGCTTCTCACAAATCACAAAACAACTTATCAGCCATTTTTGTCCATAAACACTTTCGCCTTGTGATAAGCCGTCTTCAGACATCTTCGTAGCCGTTTAGGATCTAATCTTACATCTTGGTGTTTTAGATAGATATCCATAATATGAGGGGGCCAACCTCCTCTTTGAAGAGCCAATGGATCATTCAAAATCTTGCTATCGTTTCCATACTTTTCTACTAAGCTGCTCTCGTATGTCTTAATCTTATATTCCATGTAATCTAGCCCCAAGACTCTTGCAGGAATTCCATAACAGTATTCTGATACATCCTCGGCTCCGATTGGAATGATTTGAACGAACACTGAACCAGGGCGTAAAAACATTGCATGCGTTAGTCCAGCACCATGGACCCCGAGCATTGCGTGGCTTGAGCTTACTAATGCGAATGCTTCTTTTAAGGATGTTTTTCTCGTCGGTTCAAATAATATTACCTGAAATCCTACGTTCTCTGCTATCCTTTCTACTTCAGGCTCGTTCAACATTGCACGACCGACAGTCTTATTGCGACTCATGAGCACGAGGCGCGGCTTATTGACAATGCGAGGAACTAAGATTTGTTTGTTGTATGTTGTGGCTAAAAATGTGTGGAAGTCAACTAAGGTTTTTGAAGTTTGGATTAGTTTTGGATTAATTGTCATGAAACCATGTTTGATGAGACCTATTGAGGCACCAGGAAAACAATGTGAGCTGTTGTCTTTGTCTGAATCTATGATTTGGTGCTTGCTAAAACTATGAAGTAAGCCCTTATACTTCTCCACCCACCAATCTTTCAACTGGGAGACTACCAAAACAAAATCTTGATTAGAGAACACAGAATTAGCGGTGATGAAAAGAGGGATGAACACATCATTGAAGTCATGGAAAAAGTTTCCAGTGTACCCTCCTCCTGCACTGAATACAAGAGCTGGGGCAGTGTGGTGAACGGCACAAGTTGATGTGTTCAATGGCCCTAATTTGAGAGTCACTTCCCTGATATTGTACATTGTGTATCTTTCTGGTTTTCTTGCATAGGGTCTGACCTTTTCAATCTGGTAATTTAGGCTGTTGGGGTCATTGACTAAGAAGGTTGACTCGGATGACACAAATATTGTTGGATCATTGATCCGGCAAATGTCGTATAAATCTTGTGTCCTATTGCATGTCATTTTACTCTTCTTCTTTGGCTCATTCAAAGGCAGATGAACTTGTCGGTCCGATGTGCTTCCTACATTCACAGGAATAATAATTATTGAGAGTAATATATGTACACATATCCTGAAAAAAGTCATCTACAAGTCTCACAATAAATCAATACTTCAAGAGCACACATAGATTCATTCTACCATAGAAGCATTTCTAAAACATCAACAGGTTGATAGAGCATTCTACATCAAAAGCTTTGAGTTAAAACCGAGTTAAAAAATAAAACATCCCGCCTAACTTGATGGACACGTGCAGGGAAAGCAAAACTTTCTGATAAAAAACAACAAGCATATAGGGAGATTTCCCAAAATAGGAGTAAATGGAGTTTGGATTTCCAAAATAGGACTACTATGTTTTTATTCCCGAAATATGGCTAACATGACAATATTTACTGCCATCTTGTAGGCGTGACTGCCAAATAGTTGCAATACAGTGCATTTAACATGACAATATTTATAATAATTAATGACAATTTTTTTCAATCATGACAGTATTTTTCATATATGGCAGTAACAACTCCTATTTCGGGAGAAAAACATAGTAGTCATATTTTGGAATTTCAAACCTCATTTACTCCTATTGACGGAAATTTCCCAAGCATATACCATCATAGAGTCATACATGGCTGCTCTTCCGACCAATACATTGTAGAAGATGAAATCTCCGAACCCCAATGATATGCACTAGTTTATAGTGCATAAACGTATGTTTTTATGTTGATTGAGTGTGGATTTTCCATCACTTTTAGTTAGTTTGTAAGTACTTGTTTTATTTTGTTTGTAATTGTTCTCTCCTTTTTCGGAGTTTTAGAATAGTGATAGAGTTTGTAGCAAGGAAAAAGGGAGAAAAACTGAAGACAAAAAGACCCAGGAGCACAAAAACCCGACCGGGTCAGACCTTGAACCCGGTCGGGTCAGTTGAGGAACAGATCTAAGAAGGAAAAGTAAGACCCGGTCGGGTCCCATACCCGACCCGGTCGGGTCAGACATGACCCGGAACACCGGAACATGCTGAAGATCACAAAGATTTGGAAAAAATCTGATTTAGACCAAACCCGGTCGGGTCCCTCACTTGACCCGGTCGGGTCTGACTTGACCCGGACAAATTAACGTGCTGGAACAATGAAACGTGGGAGATTATCTGATTTTGACCGGTACCCGGTCGGATATGTACTTATACCCGGTCGGGTACCCGGCCAAAGGTGTTGAAAAACACCTATAAATAGCACACTTTTTCTTCACAAAAAATCATCCCTTCTTCCAATCTCTTTAGCTCAGTTTAGAATAGCATTTCTTTATATTTTTCTAGCTATGTTTAGCCTCCAAATGAGGAGCTAAACTTCCATTCTTGGTTTTGCTCTTGAAGCTTGTTGATTATTAAAGTTGTGAGTTATTTTCTTAACTTCTTCTCTTGATTATTAATTCTTCCCTTAATCTCATTCTATATTAATGTTGGAGGGTTGCTAAGTGACGATTAGTTAACGTTCCGACATTAATTACTACTAGAAACGATCAACGAACCGATGGTTAATCGTTGGTGGTTTCACAAGTAAGTAACTTCGGTTTATTAATGCACGGTCGTGGTTAATAGACTTAAGAGGGATCAATTTTGTTGGTTAAATCGAAACCATTGTGTTAAGGTTATCAATCTCAATTGGTTTCATCAAGGGGTTAAAAAAGATTGAATGCTACTATTATATCGGTATAAGGCGTTGCTTTATATTTGATTAATAGTAAGGGTTATTAATGAACGGTCGTTGTTAATAACTACCCTCGATGAATTGGAGATACTCCTCGATTGAGTATTCGATAGGGGATAAGTTATAGATATAACAAGGATCGACTACAATATATCAACAAGGGGAAAGTAGCAAAGCCAAGTCCCTTTTATTCTTGAATTAAACACATATAGGTTGTTCATCTTAGTTTCTTAATTAAATTAAATCACTCAAAACCAAAACCCCCCTTTTTATTACTAGTTTCATAGAAAGAGAATTATACCTTTCCCTGTGGATACGAACTCTACTGCACTATACTACGTATAAGTGTTCAGTATTGAATTTATTTTGACGCACCGTGACAAAGTGCTCGTCAAATTTGGCGCCGTTGACGGGGAAAGGCAATTAATTTTTCTTTTTATTTTATTTCAAAGAAAAATCCAAAAAAAAAATAATATATAAAGTTTTCTATTTTTGCTGAGCTTTGTTTGAGTATATGGTAAAAACCCGATCCATAAACCAACTCACCTACCAAACAAACCCCGAAATAGAAAAAGCTCTCGAGCGGTTAAAGAATAAATTCTCAAATACCGACTCGGGGGAATTCTCAAGTGCTAGTTCTCAATCTAGCGAGTCCGAGGAGTCAATATCAATGGCTCTTGAAACAAGAACGCTGAGGGAGCTCACAGCCCCCAATCTAAATCAACAACCCTTATGTATCACCTTCCCAACTCTTGATGCGGGTGCTACATTTGAGTTGAAATCCGGACTCATACATCTACTTCCATCTTTCCACGGGCTAAGAGGAGAGGATCCAAATAAACATCTTTCGGAATTCCACATCGTTTGCACAAGCATGTGCCCAAACGGTGTTACCGAGGAGCAAATTAAGTTGAGGGCTTTCCCATTCTCCCTCAAAGACACCGCCAAAGATTGGCTATTCTATCTTCCCTCGGGAAGCATAGACACTTGGGCGGCCATGAAGAAGAGCTTCCTCGAAAGGTATTATCCCGCCTCCATCTCCTCATCTTTAAAGAAACAAATCAGCAATGTGGAGCAAAAAGATGATGAATCGTTCTACGAATTCTGGGAACGATTCAAGAAACTCTGTGCGAGCTGTCCGTATCACGGCTACTCGGAGCAAGACCTCATCCTTTACTTTTATGATGGTCTTTGCGATGATGATAGACGGATGATGAATGCTGCATGTGGAGGAGGAATAGTCAACAAAACTCCTTCTCAAGCTAGGAATCTTATCTCGGAGTTGGCCGAAAATTGTAGACACTATGATCGGCGGTCAACAAAGAGAGTTATGGCAGCGGAATCCAACAACTCGTTGGAGAGTCAAGTAGCCGGCTTGACTTCTTTGGTTAAAGATTTCCTTTTGAATCCAAAAACCCAAGAAGTCAAGGTCTGCGGCATCTGTTCAACACAAGGGCATCCCACAGATTCTTGCCCAACTTTACAAGAGGAGAACTCCGAGCAAGTCAATGCTTTGGGGTTCCAAGGACAAAGGAGGTACGATCCTCACGGCAACACCTACAATCCAGGATGGAGGGATCATCCAAATCTAAGTTACGGAAACCCTCAACCCCCTCAACAAACAAACCCTCCCCCTCCTCAACAATTTAAACAACAAGGCCAAACATCGAATCAAACATGTCCACCGAAGACATAATTCGAGCATTAGCCATGAATATGACTATGATGCAACAAAGTGTGGCCCAATTTCAAGAAACCACAAAGTCTAGCATCCACAATTTGGAAAGCCAAATGAGCCAAATCTCAAACGCCGTGAGTAGGCTAGAAGCTAGGGATTCGGCAAAACTCCCATCTCAAACGGAGCCGAACCCGAGACAACAAGCTCATGCGGTCACTTTGAGAAGTGGCAAAGAGTTGGTTATGGCTAAGGCGAAAGCAAAGAGCCATGTAGGAGAAGAGGAGGAGGAGATCTTGATGCCAAGCACAAACCCTCAAAATGAAGAAGAAAAGGAGGAGGAAATCACACCTCAAAGAAAGTTCCCACCGCTCAACTCATATGAGCCGGTGCCACCTTTTCCGGAGGCTCTCAAGGATAACCGGATATACAACAATGACAAAGACATCTATGAGACCTTCAGCAAATGTGAGGTAAATATCCCTCTTCTCAATTTAATAAAAGGTGTTCCTAGGTTTGCAAAGTTTTTAAAAGAACTTTGCACAATTAAAAGGAAACACAAGTTGAATGGCAAGCATAAAATCCAAGTAAGTGAAAGAGTGTCAGCCGTTTTTCAAAAGAAACTGCCTAAAAAGTATAGTGATCCGGGAATGTTCACTATACCATGTAAACTTGGAAATTCTAGTTCTTCTAGAGCTATGTTTGATTTGGGTGCATCAATCAATGTCATCCCATATTCTCTATATAAGTCCCTAGAACTAGGACCTTTACATGAGACGGGGGTCGTTATCCAACTTGCCGATAGATCCAATACCTACCCAAAAGGTGTGGTAGAGGATGTTCTCGTCATGGTGGATAATTTAATCTTTCCCGCTGATTTTTACGTTCTTGAAATGGAGAACGATAAAAATGCAGTCCCAATTTTACTAGGCCGCCCCTTTTTGAAAACGGCTAAGGCAAAAATTGACGTCTTTAGTGGAGTGTTAACCATGGAGTTCGATGGTGAAAGAGTCGAATTTAATATCTACGACTCCATGAAATACCCCACTGAGGATCACTCTCTATTTGCGATTGACACTTGCGACACTTGGGTCCAAGATGTATTTGAAATTGAGGGCAAGGATAAAGCACTAAGCGCAATAGAAAACGACATAGAGGATTTTACATTGGAATACTCTATGTCAAATAACATGAAGATTATGGTGGCGGAGTTAAATCAACTCCCACTTTTGCCACCGGGCTCTAAAGCCCTCCCGCTAACCATTCCAAGCGAGAAGCCGCTACCATCTGTTTTGCAGGCACCGGAGGTGGAATTAAAACCACTCCCTGAAAATATGAAGCATGCGTTCTTGGGTGAAAATCACACCCTACCGTTGATTATTTCAAATGCCCTGTCCCAAGAACAAGAAGAAAGATTGATCGCGGTCTTGAAGGAATATAAATTGGCCATTGGATGGTCTATTGCCGACATCAAAGGATTAGCCCATCCACATGCATGCACATGATCTTGCTCGAAGATGAGGCCAAAGCGGTGAGACAACCGCAACGAAGATTGAACCCACCCATGATGGAGGTGGTGAAAAAGGAGGTAATCAAGTTGCTTCAAATGGGAATCATCTTCCCCATTTCCGATAGCAAGTGGGTGAGT